ACTCGCTTAACCCATGGTCACTTGATGGAGCGCCGCCCTGCTCCTTATTGTCCTAGTTGCATTGTCCCTCTTACGGTCGTGCATGTCCTTCTTGAATGTCCTGACTTCCAGGACGAGCGTGTGTCTTGCTTTCCGACCGCCCCTCGCGGTCACCTGTCCCTCGATAGAATTCTTGGTGACTCGGATACTTTTGATATCGTTCGCCTTATGCGTTTTTGTTCTCGTATTGGCATCCTTGGTGATATTTAGCGCCCTCTGATTATTTTGCGTATTTGATGGTGCTACATAGCCTTCCCGGTTTGGTGCCTTCTTTTGATAATTACTTACTTACTTGTTGCTAAACATTATATGCCACCTTTAGCTTAGCTACAAAACACGTTGTGCATATTATCAAACTACCTTTAATGTCATAATGCAACAGTTTGCGCGCTCAAAATACAGATAGACAAACTCCTCAGGAACCGTAGGGGAACCTTTGACAAGCCGCCGGCTTCCTGTTGCCGTAGAGGGCACTATGGAGAAATGGTGGCCCCTCTGGTAAATTTAAGTCAATATTACCTAGGAGTTATGATGTACCAGCCATTGAGCATCTGGGACTCAGTTAATATGAAAACAATCCTTAAGAATAGTTAAACGAATCTTTTACTTAAACGAACAACATTGAATATTCAACTGTACGAGTCTCTCTTGTGGTCCCATCTGGCCTACTGTGTCCTAATATGGAAACTTCACTTCAAAAACACATCAATGATTTTCCGCTTTGGAGAAAGTTAAAGACAGCAACAACAATCATGCCAGAACTTGTTCAACTGTCACTACCACGAATCAATGAAGGATTAACACTATAAATGTTTAAATTGTAGATTTTGATAGATTAGCCTATAAATTTTCCTAGAAATTACTTACTTAATATTATCTGTTAGATTAAGGACCTGCCCGAAGTGCTATGCGTACTAGTGGCTTTACAAGAATGTAAACACATAGTGCTATGTACTCCTTGTCACCTGTCCTCTTAAAAATAGCGTCGCTTTTGGCCGTTTACCCGTATGGCCGAATTTGGACCTAATTTGAAAATGAAAATAAATTTGGGATTTCTTTTTCAACAATAATAACTTAAGGGTCCTCTGATAGGTTAGGTGGGCAGGAAATTCTCATAAAGTTTCAAAACGTTATGAAAAATGTTAATGGAAAGAATCCTCTTCTAAGCTGGCCGAGTAAGCCGGGCGACTCAAACAGAAAACGGAACAGTGCGTCACTTTTGTGAGTCGATTTCATTTCCAATTACGTCCAAATTTGGCCATAGTGCCGCGCATACCAGCCAAAAGTGACGTTAGTTTTAAGAGGACGGGTTGATCAGAAACCCAATATAACTTGTAGTTATATAAATAAATAAATAACAGCCGAGGACTTTGTAATACTGACCAAGTTGGAGGTCATTAATACAGACCACCTCTCTAAAATGTCATATTTGACACAGGCTGGACAACAGCTTCAAGCTCAACAAGCCACAATGTAACACAGAAAATAGATGTGTTTCCCCCATAGGATTATTAACCCATGAACCCGCTCAACCACTCAAGTCGTAAATGCCGAGTCATTCCTCTTGTTCACAATATACACAAGACAAATCCTCAATAAAATAAGGGTGGAGGGAGTAGGAAGGCTGACCTTTGACAAGATGCCGCCGTCCTGTCCCCGTCGAGGCCACTGTAGATGGTGGCCCTTAGGTCAATTCATCATAGGAGCCCTTCTCCTTCCATCATTTTGAATCATGCTCATCGTACTAACCTGCACCCCCTCAATCCCCCCCCCCCCCACCATCTTCACACAATCTGTGGCCAAAATTTCTCGTTTCATTCAGATTTTCATGAAAATATGTCGAAGATTTCTCTTTGGGTTGTTTTAAGGGGCCTGCCAGCCGAGTGGACAGCGCTTCAGATTCGTAATCCTGAGGTTCCGGGTTCGATCTACGGTGGAGGCTGAAACAAATGGGCATTCTTTCACCCTGATGACCCTGTTTACCTATCAGTAAATAAGTACCTGGGAGTTAGACAGCTGCTATGGGCTGCTTCCTGGGGATGTGTAAGAAAAAGAAGGCCTGGTCGAGGACCGGGCCGCGGGGACGCTAAGCCCCGAAATCATCTCAAGATAACCTTAAGATTGCTGGCTAACTACTGGCATGGCTATTAAGGCCACCACAAGCGCCCCTAATGACTTAACTAGCGGGTACACCTATGGCTGCCACCTGACAGTCACCTCTAGATTTTGTCTAAATACATAAAATATACGAAATAATAACGAATAACAACATGAAGTACACACCCCGAACAATCCTTTCTATATTATGATTGAGTAATGATATCTGTAACACATTTATTTTTTTTCACTGGTAATCAACGTGACCCTTGCCAGGCGGCGGCTGGTCGACAAATGAGCCACACGTTAAGAAGTGGGACTCCCAGACGCGCCACTCACCCTTACTTCACCATAATATCTAAACTGTCAACCTCTAATACAGTTAAGCATCTGACCACCAGAGGCGCTAATGCTTCCCTGTTATTACGCCATCCATATAATGATTGCTCTCATTATTCATTGTTGCAACGTTTAAATACATTCAACACACTGTAGTGACAGTGTCAGATGCAGGCGATGAGTCACAATAATGTGGCTGAAGTGTGTTGACCAGACCGCACACTAGAAGTTGAAGGGACGACGACGTTTCGGTCCGTCCTGGACCATTCTCAAGTCGATTGTGAAGAGGAGGTAGAGACAGGCAATAAATAGGCAAGAGAGAGCTGAGGAGGAAAGTAAGGTGTAGGGGATAGTAGTAATAATGAGAACTGCAAAAGGCCTATTGGCCCATACGAGGCAGCTCCTATTATAACCACCGAAAGAGAAGGAGATAGTAAGAATAAGAAGAGGATAGCAAAGGAGCGTAGGAGAAAACAATGAACAGAAAAAGGTGAGAAGAGAGAAAAAAAAGGAAAGAGAAAGAAAGATAAATGGAAGGGGTAAGCTTATGTTAAGTCACGTTTGTTAGAAAGTTTAGAACATTTGAGTATATACTGTGAAAGGGAAGAGTCCACAGCAACAAAGCCAGGACTCAAGTTCATGTTGGGTACATTGTGTATCAGAGCCAATTCTACAAGACAGCGTCTGTGTAGAGGCAGGAAAGATTATTTTGTAGGAAGACCAATCAATGGGATGATTAGAATCCCTCACATGGCAGAAGAGAGCATTGTTAGTGTCTGCAGACTTAACGCTTCTCTTGTGTTCTTTAAGTCTGTCATTCAGTGTGCGGCCAGTTTGCGAAAATGAAATTTTTTTGACCATCATTGTTTGCCGTGATCGCCAACATGGTATTTAGAAAAAGTTGATCTGCTGCTGACCTCTTGCTAAATCTCTCCACTAAGTGACATTAGACGCTGGATGAATCATAGATCAGCAGTGTTGTTGATCTAAATATAGCAGGTGCATTTGAGTGGGTCTGGATTAGTAGGAAAGCATCACGCACTAGCCCCTATCAGTCACCATTCTGCAATATAAACAAAAATCCCCCATGCTTTCCACATCACTTGTAATACAGGAAATATGGAGTGGATTAACAGGAATGAGAGAGGACCAAGTCAGAGAGAGAGAGCTGAGGGTCAAGGAAGTCTATGTTCCCTCTCTATTACAGGCCAAAACAAAAATTCATACCTTGGATTAATTTCCAACTGAGGCTGCAAAAGTGAGTATCTGGTGTCTTCGGGTACTGTGTAAATTGAGTGCGTACGAAGTGTCTTGCTGCACCCATCTCTTCCACAGTGATGACACATGGATGCAACTCCAGACGAGAAGTAGCCTTCACTCCCCAACATCGTCCAGCCAACACAGTTTTTAGCCAGTCCATCAATTCATTTGCTTGGGAACGACGAAGACTACTCTCAGCTGACACTGTAAAAAAAAATGGACACAATTTATATGTTATATGCAATAAAAACCCAGAGTTGAATGTAATGAAACGCCATTTTCTGGGTGAGACCTGGAGGCTCCCCGGAGCTTATTAGACTGATATGCTAATGTCAGTCTTTGCCATCAGTCATGTGTATGGAGTTCTGTGGGCCTACCGGGAACCACGAGGCAGAAACTGAGGGGGCCAGGCATGGGGAGCAATGGCCTATAGAAACCCTCGTGTGGTTGGAAACATTCTATGTCTGCCATCGACCAGGTCAGGCACCCAGAAAGGTAAGCATCCCAAAACAAACCCCTATTCTGGTGAAATTATTGATACCACAGGCCGAACAAGTGGATAGAACTCCCCCTAAAAGAAACGAGCATGACGTCACACGTCGCCGTGCCGCTTTCTGCACAGCTGGTGGGAGCCTCAGACTCCCTACGCCGGCTATCCACCCTTCAGTTTTGAGGCTGGATGTCAAAACATGCAAAAATGACGTGGCCACGGGGATAGACCGTAGGCTGGCTAGACCGAATAACCCTACAGACGACCTGGGAGACTCGAACCCTGGAAAAGGGAAGGAGGGAGACCGGATCAACCCAAAGCGAGTAACCCGACACAGAAGCCGTGGCACGCAAATGACGGTGGAGAGCCGCAACCAGACAACACATGATGCACCCACAGCTTGACCAACCAAGCATCAACAACCCAAGGACCCCTCCGGAAAGCAGCCATCTCATTCTTTGCCAGAAAAGAAGTGGGACAAACTGCAAAAGTGCAGGTGCAAATCCTGAGGCATTACGAGCAGAGCAAGTACGGTGTCGACCCATTGCAGATGAGGCCACCCCAGGTGGCACATGCAACCCGGCCTCAGACTCCACCTATGGCCTACCTCCACCAACTCATGTGCATAGCTCTCTTCCTGGCCAGAGCAGAATACCCGGACATTCTCTGAGAGCCAATCTGGAAGGAGCTCAAGGAGGCTCAGCAAGCCTACGACATTGCTCTGCGATGTTGGTTACCCTGTAAACGTCAAAGAAGGCCTCTACCTGTGCAAACCATGCCTCAGGGTCAGATTGAAGGTATGCTGTTAGCTTGAACGCAGGCGCCATGGTTTGTTTACACCCTGTCTGGGGAAACACTGGTGTGGAATCTACTCGGGGTTACCACTTTAGTGACCTAATATCCACTAGACAAGAGCTAAGCAAACGCAAGTCTCTGATCCGCACATATATATATATTCTAAAACTTTACAAACCCAAGGAGGGTGTGAGAGACTGTCTGGTCTCGTATTTGTCTGCTTGTTGTTCTATCACTGGTCGATTGCCTTTCCTCTGCAGTTTTCCCTGAACTCCGCCGTGTTGTAGGGGATACTGAAGTCACTACAATTTTATGCACTTAGGAGGAAGCCCGATGTGGCATTTAGGTGCATATGTGATTTTTGTTAATTTGAGGTGAGGCTTCAGGCGTCTCCTTCATGATAAATATGGCGGAGTAGACCAAAAAGAGAGCTAAGAGAGCTTTGCTGCCCAAGGAGTGGGGCTCCCGATGCATTGTGGGAGCAGCACCAACAGGGACAGGATTTGCCAGAAGCGAGGGCTTGGTCAATTTGGCCAATAGCGTGGAGCCCCAGGCATAATGTTAAATGACGTCAGGTGTCTTTGATTGAAGGTGCAAAAGAGAGAGCTGACTGGCAACCGGGACAGCAAGGTGAGCGGAGGTGCGCTCGTGAGCTCACCTGACAGGGAGACGTTTAGACCTCCAGAGGGTACAATTCGGCCAGCTTACGTGCACCGACAATGAGGAAGATCTGTCATCTCCTGCGGGATTATCTTGGGCAGAGCATTGCTGGTGTGAGGACGACGCCAAGGGCTAGGTACTGACAGTAACCTTGAACTTCGGAGCGGCGCTAGTAGGATTCTGAGACATCCTGCAGACCATGCACACCGGAAGCTGTGTGTGGGGGCCGAATCGGTAGCAGTCCTGGTCTGAAGAAATGCAACGATCGTTTATCCAGCGACGAGGCTGGGGTGAGGCAGCAAACCAGTGTAGGAGTGTGAGTCTGGGGGGAGCCAGGCAACAGGAGTCTCTACGTATCGGTTTCCATGACGTTTTGAAACTCTTCTTCTTCTTGAGAATAGGCGCAGTTTGCATGAAGGGGTAACCCTCCCGATGACTGCACCAGGACAGATGTAAGGAGACGCGTTGACGGTCAGGAGGAGAAGAAAGTCAAAAGCGGTAGATGTGATGGGCCGTAGAGAGAGGAGTGGCGACGAAAACAGAGGCGAACGTTAGAGGGAGACTCCCCGCACCGGGGGGCGGGGCGTCGTGATCACGGTGGCAGCTGATCCATGCACGGCTTAGCAGCGTGCGCAAGACGGGAACTAATACTTCTCCGGAAACTTGTGTATCGGAAAGCGCAAGCAGTACGCTTCCCATATCACCCGCAGGTCAGCGGGCAGCCGGCCACCAGGCGGCGCCCTCGGCTGAGACATCCTATCCGGCACCCTATACACAAACTCCTTCACCCGCGACACCCAGACAGTGGACGAGCACCACGGGATCGGAAGCACCCGGGCATCCCGATAAGGGCCCAACTCCGGACCCTCACAGGGCACGACCCCAGCAGACGGGACTAGGCAATCCCCAGACTGGAGCAAGGAAGGAGGGGATACAGCAGGGGACGCAGGCGCGGCACCGACCCCACCACCGGGCACAGGAGCCGAGGCCCTCTGGCGCACATCTTTCCGCAACATCACGACGAGGTCCCGATCAGCAGGGACAACCCCCCACTGCGGAGATCCAACAGCAGGAGACGCAGGAGGAGAGGCACAGGTAGCAACGTCGGAGCCCCTCACAGCACCACCATTCTCGGCGGGGGGCGCCAGATTACCATACTCCCCCACCTCCTCCCAAGGCACACCACGAAGGGGAGACACACTCCGAGCCCGCCGTGAACGCTTCGAGACAGGCCTCACCACACCACGCCCAGCAGGCCCCGCCGCAGGCACGGCCACCATCTTTACATCCACACAGGCCACACCCGCACCGTCCGAAGAGTCCACAGAGGCCACATCACCCACACTGTCCACATCATCCAGGGAAACAGCCTCAGAACACCGACGCGCACGCTTCTGCAAAGGGACGGAAAGAGCAGAACTACACTCACCAACACACACAGACACGGCAGGCACCTCCCCCTGCCGAAGCACCCCCTCTAAAACAGCAGAACCCGCGTCCCCGGGAGCCGGTATCACATCCACAGGCGGGGGCGGGACATGGACCTCCACCGAGACATCCTTCACTACACGCAGCTCAGGCGACGGCCCGACACCCACACACACCGGCTCAACAACCCCAGGGGCCATAGCAGTCACCTGACGTGTCGCCGTAGAACTCGCCCCAACAGGCGGAGCAGCAGACAGGCAATCAGGCGCCTCAGGCACAGCACCTACTCCATCCTCAGAACCGTCCGAACGTAACAAGGGCGGGAAATCCTCTGCACGAAAAACATGCACCCTACCAGTTGCACCCACGTCGCACGCCGCAGCCAGGTGACCCTCGTGACCACACCGATAACAGGTGCGCGGTTGACCCCGGTACAAGCAGCGGAGCGTGTAACCCAACACGGACATCGACGACGGTACACTACACTTCAGCGACATCGTCAGGGTGCGGGAGCCGTCAAGCATACCAACACAGTGCCCGGCAACGACCTTGTTCCAACGAACACTTAACACGGTCCCAAATCGCTCAAAACAGGAGGTTAAAAAGTCGTCCTGAAATTCGAAGGGGGCACCATGCACCGCCACAGACGTCAAGGTGACACTAAGATTCACCACCTTAACTGAGCCAGCTGAATCAGGGAGTGGGTAAACACGCCCCTCACAACGCTCGAGAAACACCTGAAAGGCAGCCTGGAGGCGGAACTTGACCACAGCACGGTTGCCCTGAAGCAGCTGGACGCCCACCAGGTCCGACAGCTGCACATGAAGCACGTCCACCAGGGCGACACCAACCAATGGATGGTCCACCGGCACCGTAAACGCTAGACCAGCCGACAATGTCCTCTGCACTGGAGGGCGAGATGACCCCATGGCGAAGGCAAACGTCACCCTGTCAGTGGCAAACCACCACCAGCAGGGCAAACAAGCAATCACCCAACGTAAACACTAGCCAGTGCGGAGAGACCTCAGGAGCGTCCGACCTGGCCGGTGGTCACCACGCAACTCTCTTGTGTGCACGGCTTGATCTTGTGTGCACGGCTTATTCCTATGTGCACGGCTTATTCCTGTGTGTGTGCACTTCTGGCATCTATATGTGCACGGCTTCAACCTGTTTGTGCACGGCTTCCACCTATCTTGAGATTTCGGGGCTTAGCGTCCCCGCGGCCCGGTCATCGACCAGGCCTCCTTTTTGTTACACACCCCCAGGAAGCAGCCCGTAGCAGCTGTCTAACTCCCAGGTCCCTATTTACTGTTAGGTAACTAGAGCTCCAGGGTGAAAAACTTGGACCATTTGTTTCCGCCTCCACCGGGATCATACCCAGAACCTCAGGACTACGAATCCGAAGCGCTGTCCACTCAGCTCTCAGGTCCCTAGGTATGCATGATTCAAACCATGAGACATATTGCTCCAGGAACAATGAACAATGTTGCTAAATCAAAGATATAAGTTCTTACTGTTCATAAACAGAGAACAGGGATGTTCATAGCTCAGAGTTCATCATTGTTAAGACAGGCTGGGATATTTTAGTAACAAATGACCATAACATAAACAATGGAGAGAGGATAATACATATATTTATACCACATAATTACAGATAAATAACAGTAATTATAGTAACAAGGAGGTTTCAGTATTAGGCTAATTAGAGAGACAAAGGGAGAAACATTCAGGAAGAACTACCTTCTCAGGCAGAATAAGATTCTCGCCCAACAAGGAATTTTTCATTGCCATCACTACAGCAATTCTGGGAATATTGAAAATTTTAATCATGTACTTCGATAGGTACTTCCACTAAATGTTTCTCTCAATATAAAAAAATACATGTTTAAAAAAGGAGTTTTTCACAATTGAAGCGAATTCGTTATTTAAAAATCACAAAGATCTAATTTAAAAAAAATTGTACATTGCTCAACACAGCAAGTTTAAGCACCGAAGCCCAAAACCCTACAATTGACCAGTAGCAGCATGACGCCTCTTTACACCGCGACACCCACCTGGCAGCCAGTCTCGTGGCGCAGTAAAATGTGTTGACTAAGCATTGTTATTTGTTATAATGTTTTGAACAGTAAAGGGCATTGGAAAGGTTTCTGCCCACTGCTGGAAGGACGCCGCCTCGCAGACCCTACCTCAGCAGGTCCTACCTGCTCAGCAGGCCCTCCCCTCAGCAGGTCCAACCTGCTCAGCAGGCCCTCCCCTCAGCAGGTCCAACCTCAGCAGGTCCTATCTCAGCAGGCCCTCCCCTCAGCAGCTCTTACCTTAGCAGGTCCTACCTCAGCAGGCCCTCGCCTCAGCAGGCTCTACCTCACCAGGCCCTACCTCAGCATGAGCTACCTCACCTGCAGGCCCTACCTCACCAGGAGCTACCTCACCAGGCCCTACCTCAGCAGGAGCTACCTCAATTGCAGGCCCTACCTCAGCAGGAGCTACCTCACCAGGCCCTACCTCAGCAGGAGCTACCTCACCTGCAGGCCCTACCTCAGCAGGAGCTACCTCACCAGGCCCTACCTCACCAGGCCCTACCTCACCAGGAGCTACCTCACCAGGAGCTACCTCACCAGGAACTACCTCAGCAGGAGCTACCTCACCAGGCCCTACCTCACCAAGCCCTACCTCACCAGGAGCTACCTCACCAGGAGCTACCTCACCAGGAACTACCTCACCAGGAGCTACCTCACCAGGAACTACCTCACCAGGAGCTACCTCACCAGGAGCTACCTCACCAGGAGCTACCTCACCAGGAGCTACCTCACCAGGAGCTACCTCACCAGGAGCTACCTCACCAGGAACTACCTCACCAGGCCCTACCTCAGCAGGCCCCACCTCATCAGGAACTACGTCAGCAGGAGCTACCTCAGCAGGCTCTACCTCAGCAGGAGCTACCTCAGCAGGCCCCACCTCATCAGGAACTACCTCAGCAGGCTCTACGTCAGGTGGAGCAACCTCACCAGGCCCTACCTCAGCTGGAGCTACCTCACCAGGCCCTATCTCAGCTGCAGCTACCTCACCAGGCCCTACCTCAGCTGGAGCTACCTCACCAGGACTTACCTCAGCAGGCTCTACCTCAGCAGGAGCTACCTCGCCAGGTCCTACCTCACCAGGAGCTACCTCACCAGGTCCTACCTCAGCTGGGGCTACCTCACCAGACCCTACCTCAGCAGGCCCTACCTTGGCAGGCCCTACCTCAGCGGGAGCTACCTTACTAGGCCTTACCTCAGCAGGAGCTACCTCAGCAGGAGCTACCTCACGAGGCCCTACCTCAGCAGGCCCTACCTCAGCAGGCCCTACCGCAGCAGGAGCTACCTCATGAGGCCCTACCTCAGCAAGCCCTACATCACCCGGCTCTACCTCACCAGGCCCTACTTCAGCAGGAGCTACCTCAGCAGGAGCTACCTCACCAGGCCCTACCTTAGCTGGAGCTACCTCAGCAGGCCCTACCTCAGCAAGTCCTACCTTGGCAGGCCCAACCTCAGCGGGAGCTACCTTAGTAGGCCTTACCTCAGCAGAAGCTACCTCAGCAGGAGCTAAGTCACCAGGCCCTACCTCAACTGGAGCTACCTCAGCAAGTCCTACCTCAGCAGGCCCTACCTCAGCAAGTCCTTCCTTGGCAGGCCCTACCTCAGCAGGCCCTACCTCACAATGCACGATCTCACCAGGAACTACCTCAGCAGGAGCTACCTCAGCAGGCTCTAACTCAGCAGGAGCTACCTCAGCAGGTCCTACCTCACCAGGAGCTACCTCACCAGGCCCTACCTCAGATGGAGCTACCTCAGCAGGCCCTAACTCAGCAAGTCCTACCTTGACAGGCCCTACCTCAGCGGGAGTTACCTTAGTAGGCCTTACCTCAGCAGGAGCTACCTCAGCAGGAGCTAAGTCACCAGGCCCTACCTCAGCAGGTCCTACCTTGTCATGCCCTACCTCAGCAGGAGCTACCTCAGCAGGAACTACCTCAGCAGGAGCTAGCTCACGAGGCCCTACCTCAGCAGGAGCTACCTTACCAGGCCCTACCTCAGCAGGAGCTACCTCACGACGCCCTACCTCAGCAGGTCCTACCTCAGCAGGCCCTACCTCACCAGGAGCTACCTCAGCAAGAGCTACCTCAGCAGGAGCTACCTCAGCAAGAGCTACCTCAGCAAGAGCATCCTCACCAGGAGCTACCTCAGCAAGAGCTACCTCACCAGGAGCTACCTCAGCAAGAGCTACCTCACCAGGAGCTACCTCAGCAAGAGCTACCTCACCAGGAGCTACCTCAGCAGGAGCTACCTCACCAGGAACTACCTCACCAGGAACTACCTCAGCCGGAACTACCTCAGCAGGAGCTACCTCACCAGGAACTACCTCAGCAGGAGCTACCTCACCAGGAACTACCTCAGCAGGAGCTACCTCACCAGGAACTACCTCAGCAGGAGCTACCTCACCAGGAACTACCTCAGCAGGAACTACCTCAGCAGGAGCTACCTCACCAGAAACTACCTCAGCAAGAGCTACCTCACCAGGAACTACCTCACCAGGCCCTACCTCAGCAGGAGCTACCTCACCAGGAACTACCTCAGCAGGAGCTACCTCACCAGGAGCTACCTCAGCAGGTCCTACCTCAGCTGGAGCTACCTCAGCAGGCCCTACCTCAGCAAGTCCTACCTTGGCAGGCCCTAACTCAGCGGGAGCTACCTTAGCAGGAGCTACCTCAGCAGGCCCTACCTCAGCAGGAGCTACCTCAGCAGGCCCTACCTCAGCAGGCCCTACCTCAGCAGGAGCTACCTCAGCAGGCCCTACCTCAGCAGGAGCTACCTTACCAGGCCCTACCTCAGCAGGAGCTACCACACGAGGCCCTACCTCACCAGGAGCTACCTCAGCAGGAGCTACCTCACCAGGCCCTACCTCAGCAGGAGCTACCTCAGCAGGCCCTACCTCAGCAGGAGCTACCTCACCAGGCCCTACCTCAGCAGGAGGTACCTCACCAGGCGGTACCTCACCAGCTGCTACCTCAGCAGGAGCTACCTCAGCAGGTGCTACCTCAGCAGGCCCTACCTCAGCAGGAGCTACCTCAGCAGGCCCTACCTCAGCAGGAGCTACCTCACCAGCTGCTACCTCAGCAGGAGCTACCTCAGCAGGCCCTACCTCAGCAGGAGCTACCTCAGCAGGAGCTACCTCAGCAGGCCCTACCTCAGCAGGAGCTACCTCAGCAGGCCCTACCTCAGCAGGAGCTACCTCAGCAGGCCCTACCTCAGCAGGAGCTACCTCAGCAGGAGCTACCTTACCAGGCCCTACCTCAGCAGGAGCTACCACACGAGGCCCTACCTCACCAGAAGCTACCTCACCAGGAGCTACCTCAGCAGGTCCTACCTCAGCAGGCCCTACCTCACCAGAAGCTACCTCACCAGCTGCTACCTCACCAGCTACTACCTCAGCAGGTGCTACCTCAGCAGGAGCTACTTCAGCAGGCCCTACCTCACCAGGCCCTACCTCAGCAGGAGTTACCTCACCAGGCCTTACCTCAGCAGGCCCTACCTCAGCAGGCCCTACCTCAGCAGGAGCTACCTCACCAGGCCCTACCTCAGCAGGAGCTACCTCACCAGGCCCTACCTCAGCAGCAGCTACCTCAGCAGGCCCTACCTCAGCAGCAGCTACCTCAGCAGGCCCTACCTCAGCAGCAGCTACCTCAGCAGGCCCTACCTCAGCAGGAGCTACCTCACCAGGCCCTACCTCAGCAGGAGCTACCTCACCAGGCCCTACCTCAGCTGGAGCTACCTCAGCAGGCCCTAACTCAGCAAGTCCTACCTTGGCAGGCCTTACCTCAGCAGGAGCTACCTCAGCAGGAGCTAAGTCACCAGGCCCTACCTCAGCTGGAGCTACCTCAGCAGGTCCTACCTTGTCAGGCCCTACCTCAGCGGGAGCTACCTTAGTAGGCCCTACCTCAGCAGGAGCTACCTCAGCAAGAGCTACCTCAGCAGGCCCTACCTCAGCAGGAACTAGCTCACGAGGCCCTACCTCAGCAGGAGATACCTTACCAGGCCCTACCTCAGCAGGAGCTACCTCACGAGGCCCTACCTCAGCAGGAGCTACCTCACGAGGCCCTACCTCAGCAGGAGCTACCTCACCAGGTTCTACCTCAGCAGGAGCTACCTCACCAGGTCCTACCTCAGCAGGAGCTACCTCACCAGGTCCTACCTCAGCAGGAGCTACCTCACCAGGTCCTACCTCAGCAGGAGCTAGCTCACGAGGCCCTACCTCAGCAGGAGCTACCTCACCAGGCCCTACCTCAGCAGGAGCTACCTCACGAGGCCCTACCTCAGCAGGAGCTACCTCACCAGGTTCTACCTCAGCAGGAGCTACCTCACCAGGTCCTACCTCAGCAGGAGCTACCTCACCAGGTCCTACCTCAGCAGGAGCTACCTCACCAGGTCCTACCTCAGCAGGAGCTACCTCACCAGGTCCTACCTCAGCAGGAGCTACCTCACCAGGTCCTACCTCAGCAGGAGCTACCTCACCAGGTCCTAGCTCAGCAGGAGCTACCTCACCAGGTCCTACCTCAGCAGGAGCTACCTCACCAGGTCCTAGCTCAGCAGGAGCTACCTCACCAGGTCCTACCTCAGCAGGAGCTACCTCACCAGGAACTACCTCAGCAGGAGCTTTGTCATCCTGGGTGACGGAGGCAACAGTGACGTTCCCGGGAATGTCAGTGAGGACTGTAGGTAAACTGGTAGAAGACTGGCTGTTTGGTTCCTGCTTCTGGATGTGAGGTTGCGCACTATCAGTAACTGAGAAGTGAAGGTGCGGCTGGTCGAGTGGCTCTTCCTTGGTGACTAAACATTGTACGTGTCGGTTAGGTGAAGGTTGCTGGAAAAAGTCGTCCGGCCCGTAAATTCGTCGCTGAATACAATGGACGTCACAGCTAACGAGCGGTGCGTTTCTGGCACTGGATCTCAAACCGATTGTGTGTTTTCTGGGGTTGTTAAACACGCGTGGCAGTTGTTGTGGTTCTTCAAAGGCCTCACCGAAAAGATATTTGTAAGTTGTATAAAAGTCCTCATCGTCATTATCGATACACACCTCATGAGTGCCTCTAGTTATAAACTTTTCTATTTCTGGATGAATGTTGGTGGAGACGGTGCTGTTCTCACGCCGCAAATGTGCTGCAGGAGTTTGGATATTACACTTTTGAGTTTTCCGAGGGTTACAAGAATAATTATAAATATCATCTATGATTTTAACTGACGATTCAAACTTGATACCATTCATTTTTATAAATTGGCCCAAGCTAAAATACAGCCCACAGGTACATATAACTGGTTATGAAGACGTCCGTAAATGACGTATACGTGCTGTAGAGCACTGCGTTGTAGGCGGGGTCGTGGTGGTGGGGAAGGGGCTGATTTTGTGTGGAGAACTGGTCCAGGACAGGTTAAACAGCGCCCCAGAGCGCTTAGCATGTCTCACACCAGGAAGCCATCCAGTAGCTGCCCGCCTCACAAGATCAAGACGAGTAGTTACATACGGTCAGCGCAGTCATAGGCAGGTAAATGGATGGTGTCGTTCAGTGATTGCTGTAATAACAAGAAAATAAGGATAATTCAACTGCAGAAGACCTATTCATCCATACTAAGCTCACCTGAACTCATTCTTACATATCACTTCATGAAACAATCAAATGTCCACAATTACAAGGCAATTTGGTCCACAAATCTACAACCCTGTTTCCAAACCAGTATATACCCAGGTTTATCCTAAACTAAACTTCAATATATCCATTGTGTCGAGTTCCAGTTTGCATCTAGTTTTTTTTTTTTTTTTGAGATATATACAAGAGTTGTTACATTCTTGTACATTCTTGGATATTGAGATAATTCGTTATATCATCCAATTGTATACTTAAAGCATGTTACCCTCTCTTTGCTTTTCGACAATATATAAATTAGGCGGTCTTAATTCCTTCACGGTCTCCCCTGACTTTACTCCATAGTTTAAAATGTTTTCTTTAGCATAAGTAACTATCAAAAGAAGGCACCAAACCGGGAAGGCTATGTAGCACCATCAAATGTGCGGAATAATCAGAGGGCACTAAATATCACCAAGTTTCTTTAGCATAAACAAGCCTTTAAGGCAAGTTATGTTCTCGTTTCCACCCTAAACCACTTGCCTCTAAGGCAGGTTATGTTAACGTTTCCACCCTAAACCACTTGCCTCTAAGGCAGGTTATGTTAACGTTTCCACCCTAAACCACTTGCCTCTAAGGCAGGTTATGTTAACGTCTCCACCCTAAACCACTTGCCTCTAAGGCAGGTTATGTTAACGTCTCCACCCTAAACCACTTGCCTCTAAGGCACGTCTCCTAAACCATTTGCCTCTAAGGCAGGTTATGTTAACGTTTCCAAACCACTTGCCTCTAAGGCAGTCTCCACCCTAAACCACTTGCCTCTATAACGTCTTAAGGCATCTCCACCCTAAACCAATGAGATGAGCATGGTTTCTTTCACCTAATGCCTTTGCTCACCTAACAGAAAATTAGATAACTGTGAGCTAGACAACATTGTGACGACGTGTGTGTGTGTGTGTGTGTGTGCGCGCGCGCGCGCGCGCATACTCACTTAGTTGTACTTAGTTGTTTTTACGGAGGTTGAGCTTTGGCTCTTTTATCCCGCCTCTCGACTGCCAATCAACCGGTGTACAGATTCCTGAGCGTATTACGCGCTATCATATCTACAATTGAAACTGTGTATGAAGTCCACCACATCACTTTGTAATGCATTACATTGGTAATGCATTAATGTTTGTGTGTGTGTGTGTGTGTACGTGTACGCGCGCGCGCACGTACTCTAGAAATATATTTAGTAGATATGAGAGAGGAAAACAGGTTGGGAGTCAGTAAACTAGACAACCTATAGTTAGAACGGCAGTCTAAGACCTAAGAGCTTCATCCAGCAGACATATTATATGCAAGATGTAAATACACATAAGCAAAAAACGTTAACCCATAAAAATAATTAATATGATACACATTCATTAACAATCTCGGTTCACTTAAGGACAAAATCCTCAGCAATAACATTAATCACACTTAATACACTTGACAAAACATGTAATAAGTGACTGGCTCTATTACTCCGGACACTGTTTAAAGGCAGCGCAACACAATAAAAAGTTAAGCCCAGTTAATCTGGCAAAGAAATTGTTGAAGCAGGTAACCCACCACTGTTTGACACCCATGGAGTGAGGTTGGTGACTGCCTGAAGCTCAGGCTACCTTCCCTCCTCGCCTCTCTGAAGAAAACGGCACCTGGTACATGTTTTAACAGTTACTGAACCGCCTGACCACACCTTGCACTCGTTATCCGCACATTGTCATCATTTATGGTATTTGTCCAAGAATACCACTTATGACGCTTGACTAATAATGCCCATATCTTACACTGGTGGGAGCAGCCGTCATGTGAGGACGAAGCTGCCCAGTGCTCTTGGTCCTGTGTTACTTGCGCTCTCTTTGCTAACTTGGTTGGAGAGTGTCGTGAGGAATTTGGTGGAACCGTGAGGTGCTCTGAGGACCGAGGTGGGCTCTGAGGACCGAGGTGGGCTCTGAGGACCGAGGTGGGCTCTGAGGACAGAGGTGGGCTCTGAGGACCGAGGTGGGCTCTGAGGACCGAGGTGGGCTCTGAGGACCGAGGTGGGCTCTGAGGACCGAGGTGGGCTCTGAGGACCGAGGTGGGCTCTGAGGACCGAGGTGGGCTCTGAGGACCGAGGTGGGCTCTGAGGACCGAGGTGGGCTCTGAGGACCGAGGTGGGCTCTGAGGACCGAGGTGGGCTCTTAGGACCGAGGTGGGCTCTGAGGACCGAGGTGGGCTCTGAGGACCGAGGTGGGCTCTGAGGACCGAGGTGGGCTCTGAGGACCGAGGTGGGCTCTGAGGACCGAGGTGGGCTCTGAGGACCGAGGTGGACTCTGAGGACCGAGGTGGGCTCTGAGGACGGAGGTGGGCTCTGAGGACGGAGGTGGACTCTGAGGACGGAGGTGGGCTCTGAGGACGGAGGTGGGCTCTGAGGACCGAGGTGGGCTCTGAGGACCGAGGTGGACTCTGAGGACCGAGGTGGACTCTGAGGACCGAGGTGGACTCTGAGGACCGAGGTGGGCTCTGAGGACCGAGGTGGGCTCTGAGGACCGAGATGGACTAAGTAGACGAAGCAACTCGTGTTTCCTCGTCATAGAGTCACTAAGGACAAGGCACTTTACAAAGTTGTGACAAAAACTACTGCCACTTTCGAGAATTCTTTCCCGTTCATTCATCTCCCGTTCATTCATCTCCCTTTCATTCACCTCCCGTTCATTCACCTCCCGTTCATTCACCTCCCGTTCATTCACCTCCCGTTCATTCACCTCCAGTTCATTCACCTCCAGTTCATTCACCTCTAGTTCATTCATCTCCTGTTCATTCACCTCCCGTTCATTCACCTCCAGTTCATTCACCTCCCGTTCATTCACCTCCAGTTCATTCACCTCCAGTTCATTCATCTCCCGTTCATTCATCTCCAGTTCATTCACATCCCGTTCATTCACTTCTCTGAAGGTTCTGAGTCCTGAAGAGGAAGCAGCGGTCCGACGGTAAGGTAAGACGACTAAACGAGTGCAGATAAAAAAGTTAGGGAATGTTGACTGTAGTAAATTCACAGGTGATATTTTTAGACAGGATTCTTTGTGCTAAAATTACGAAAACAGGCGTTGTAAAATATTGATAAAAATGGACCAAAAAAATGGGTTCCACAACAGTTTACTGGTTTGTTATTCAGGGCTGGTATTGGCGGGCTATAGTTAACATGTGTGGTATTAGGGGTTTCGTTAACATTGAGTGGTATTATGGCTGGTTTTAATGGATATTGTTAACATTGTGTGGTATTATGTCTGGTATTGGCCGGATATTGTTAATATAGAGTGGTATTATGTCTGGTATTGGCCGGATATTGTTAATATAGAGTGGTATTATGTCTGGTATTGGCCGGATATTGTTAATATAGAGTGGTTTTATGTCTGGTATTGGCCGGATATTGTTAATATAGAGTGGTTTTATGGCTGGTATTGGCCGGATATTGTTAACATTGTGTTGTATTAAGGCTGGTATTGGCCGGATATTATTAACAGTGATTGAAGTTTTGAGCCGTTGCAAGCAGGAGAGCAGTATGACTGGTCTGTGTGAACTCTATATTACTTGTAGGGTCACACAACATTTTTTGAACACAGATATTGCAAGGAGCATATTACAAGACAGGATAGTTTGCCTTAATTGGCCGCCGCCCAGGCAAGCATGTCACTCTGTTGGGTGATTCCTCCTGTGTCGTGTGGACTTGATGTGGCAGGCAGAAGTAATTCTCTGAAGGAGCTGTGCTGGGGCAACAGGGGGCCAAAATTAGAATGGGTTCTACAGTGCCAACTATATGAAAGTTTCTAAACTTGTAGTCCCTATAGCTGTGAAGAACCTCAATATACGTCCCTCATGATGACGGATATAGGGCCAATTAAAGATCAGCTGGGTCAACCGACATCCACGGTACTGTGTGCAGTGCAAGAAGTACAGCCTCTTTGGTTGTCTGCGGCATTGTTGCACGTCCCCAAAGGAGCAGCGACTAATGCAATTGTGTTGAAGAAACGCGTCTCTAGACTATCTACAATACTAAATAGTGACGCCTTCTAGCCAGAGATTCCAGATTTCTTGTCTCTTTTTTTTTAGATTAGGATGTGTAATTGTTTAGCTAGGATGTATTTTTTCTATAAAGTTTTCTCACCCTGCCTACTTGCTTTTGCTGTGTTACAAAACTTTATTAAGGGGAAATGGCAAAATGTATCACTATAAATGTGTTTTATTTAATATTTCACATACAACAAGAGTTCAGTCATACAGGATATTGGTGTCGTCAGACAGCCTGCCATTAGCAATTAAGAAGTCACACCTTAAGAGATTTAATGGTCAGAGGTTGAGTAGGGGGTCAGATTGTGTGAATTGACCTTGCTTTCTGCTAAGCTGATAATTGCAACCAGTGGCTGTCTTTTCATCAAACAAGACGTTGTCTAAGTGGGGTAGGTAGATAGCCAGAGGCTATCTCCTTGGTAGGCAGAGCTTAGCTCCTGGTTCCCCCATAATTACCTTTGGCACTGTACATTTGAGATATTGAGCAGGACAACGATAAATAGGTCGCTTATCGAGAGGCCCATGGCCAGACCCTGCCTCTCCCAGGCCGGGTGGGGGATTCTGTCAGCCATTCTAACCCTACCTTCCCCTTTCTACAAACTTAGTCTCAAAGGCCTAGGTGAGTGAACTTGTAAGGTGACGTATATTGTGATTTCCACTTAGGTGTTGTGTGATTTTCAGGGGCAGTCAGCCGTAGTGCTCTCAAATTCTTGTGTGGTGACTCAAGTTGTATTTATTGCTGTCTGTATTTATGTTGTCATATTGAACATCAAGCAAAATAAGTGAATTATATTACCCATAATAGTAAATATATATAATTGATTAACTTTTGTAAATTGTTTTTAATTTTGATCCCTAGAGTTTGCATTTTGAAAGCTAGAGTTGAGAGCCCTCTGAAGTTTAGTGGCTTAAGATTTTGACTTAAATATTCTTGGTTATTCAAGTACCTGATTACAGTTACAAGATATACATGATAACATCAAATAATATTGTTGTGCAGACAAGTTCCATTCATTGTTTTATATATAACTAACATGAATGGATGGTGGCAGCAACATTTTCTTCTTTCTACTAATTAACCTTCTATCATCCTACAATACTTCTACTCTTTCTACTTTTCTACTTTCCTCCTTGAACTCATTTTCTCTTTCTCATTCTAAACGTTCCTTTTCCCCCCTGACCATACTCCTCACACCTCCCTTCCACCTCTCTACCTCCCTCAACCCTTACCCACCACTCTGTCTTCTTTCCTTTATTCATTTTCCTATACATTACAGTATTATGGCTGGTATTGGGGAATATTGTGAACATTGACTGGTATTATGGCTGGTATTGGGGAAAATTGTTAACGCTATGTGATATTATGGCTGGTATTGGGGAAGGATGGTTAACGGTATTAAGCTGGTATTGGGGAATATAGTTAATGATGAGTGGTATTATCGCTGCTATTGGGGGAATACTGCAAATGCTCAGTGATATTATGGCTGGTATTGGTGAATATTGTTAACGATGAGTGGCATTATGGCTGGTATTGTGGAATATTGTTAACGTTGAGTGGTATTATGGCTGGTATTGGTGAATATTGTTAACGATGAGTGGTATTATGGCTGGTATTGGTGAATATTGTTAACATTGATTGGTATTATAGACGGTATTGACGGGATATTGTTAACACTGAGTGGTATTATGGCTGCTATTGACGGGATATTGTTAACATTGAGTGGTATTCTAGATGGGATTTTCGGGATATTGTTGACACTGAGTGGTATTGTGGCAGGTATTGGGTAATATTGTTACCGTTGAGTAGTATTATGACTGGTACTGTGGAATATTGTTAACGGTGAGTGATATTAGTATGGAGTTTTACACCAATACCCATCCCCGTGCTCCTGGGCAGGTGATGCAAAGGTATGCATCAGATGCCCAGGTGATTAATTAGGAGACGTGTATTGGTGTATGGGGGTGTATGGTATTAGCTCCGCCCCCTGGAGGGTGAGTCAGCCAATGGTTGGAGAGTTGTGGGAGGAGTTGTGTAGGATGATGCAGGAAAAGGTTAGTAGGAGTATGAGATTGAAGAGCAGTTAAGTGTAAGAAAGTGGAACTGAAAATAATGATAAAACTCTATGTTTAGTAATTGCTGTTTCGATAGGAACAGTCAGTGTTAGTCATTCATGGATGAGACACCAATACCCGTCACCAGAGGCAGTGATGCCTTGGTGATTAATTAGGGGACGTGTATCGGTGTAGGGGGTGTATGGGATAAGTTCCTCCCCCTGGAGAGTATGGTCTCCTAGGTGAGCACCAATCAGCATCAAGCTCCTCCTCCCCTGTCTCTTAGAAGAATTAAACCCCCACCCTGTATTATTTGGTCAGAATGTATTTAGCGTTTGTAGAGAGAGTGTGTGTAATAATGGAGGGATGGGCAGAGAGGTGTGAGCTGTAGCATTGCCAGCAAGGTACTGAGGTTGTATACCTTACACATGCATAGTTAATAGAGGAGAGACAGACAGACAGACAGAGAGCGAGAGAGATAGCGTGAGACATAGAGGGATATACCCAGAACATGACTCGCAGCGCATAGAAGTAAAAAAATTCGTCCAGGCTTTGCTAAGCAAGGCTGTCTGCGATGTCATCACCTCATTTATGACATAACAAGGTGATAAGTGCTGGTAGTGAGACAGACACACGTTCACTCCTCACGACTGCTGACTGCATTCTAATGGGCTCCTCAGCTCCCGCGGTAGGTAGGTAGTTAGTGCTCACACCCATCACGCCCTTGTTAGAGACTTTCACTCTCCATGAAGAGATCCTTAGCACCAGGCAGAGAGAGAGAGAGAGAGAGAGAGAGAGAGAGAGAGAGAGAGAGAGAGAGAGAGAGAGAGAGAGAGAGAGAGAGAGAGAGAGAGAGAGAAGGAGAGAGAGAGAGAGAGAGAGAGAGAGAGAGAGAGAGAGAGAGAGAGAGAGAGAGAGATGAGAGAGAGAGAGAGAGAGAGAGAGAGAGAGAGAGAGAGAGAGAGAGAGAGAGAGAGAGAGAGAGAGAGAGAGAGATGAGAGAGAGAGAGAGAGAGAGAGAGAGAGAGATGAGAGAGAGAGAGAGAGAGAGAGAGAGATGAGAGAGAGAGAGAGAGAGAGAGAGAGATGAGAGAGATAGAGAACTGTGAGTTATTTTCATCTCACATAAACGGTATGAAACTTCAGTGATGCTAAACAGATCTGTCTCTGCAGTCAAAACAATCTTATAAGTTAAAAAGACGAGGAACCAGCTAGTCAATCCGCTCCCTTTGCAGGCGGCGTTTGCACTATTAACTGATAGGCTGTTACTATGACGCACTAAGAGAGAGTTGGACCCAGACGCCATTCCTGTGGTATGAGAACCGTCAGATTCTCAGTTATTTATGCGGGCACTTAATAGGCTTCTCCTCCCCTGTGTGGAGATAATTGTTTAACAGCTCTTATTTACATGTCAATTCACCTCGTTGGGAATGAAGGAATGTGTGTATCCTCTGCCGCTGTAGGCACCTCCTGCTCATCCTTCCTCCTTTCACTCTACACTTCAATTACATAGGGATTAGGGAAAGTATACACATATATAATTTTATTCTTTATTTTAACAGATAAACACACACACTGAGTACAGTTCTTCCTACAAATTAATTGAACCGTTAGCTTTCTCTCTCAATGTCACATCAAACAGCAGTTTATCTTTCCTGTTACTTCTCTAGCACAGTAGAGTGGAGCCGGGCCTCATCATCAGTACGGTACTGACTTTTTTTTACCACAGGTTAGCGTTAGGGCAGATCAAACCAGATATTCCTGCACCCTCGATCACTCTCCTGCCTTCCACTCATATATCCTTCACAGATCTCTCTCTCTTAGCGTTAATTCTTATCCGTATAAACAAAAATATATAACTATTTAAAAACACACAATCAGCGG